TGCTTGGAGGGAAAGGGAGTCCCCGATCTGAACACAAGGCTTTTAGTCAAGAAGTTGTGGGACACGTTTCATATTCCTGTCTTCACTCTCGTTGATGCTGACCCTCATGGTAATTCAGTATGGAGCTGTTTGGAACAGCAGTCATAACTAAATCGTATGTGAAATTGTGGTTTTCTGCTCTTGGAATATTTTGTTAATCTTTTTCAGAAAATGATTAGATTAAAATAGGGCTATAATGATCTGAGGCAATTTATTATTATTATTATTGCCACATGAAACAGAACCATAAATTTTTCACTGGTAATATCTACAAAAATTAAAACTGCAGATGTTTCAAGAGCAAATTATCTAACCTATAATATAAAGAAGGCAAATTTTACCATTTGTTTTAACAGGCATAGAAATTATGTGCATCTATAAGTATGGATCTATGGTAAGTATAGAGAGGTAGCTCTCCCGTTTTTTACTATTCAGATATTCTGTTTTCATTGGCGAGATTTCTGTGTTTACTTACTACCCTCTAGTAAGCTGAGAGCCCCAAAACGGACCAGGGAGGATAGTGTCAGTCTAGGACCAGTCTGTGTCTCAGTGGCCCCGAATTCCCTTTCAGCACGGACAGGGCAGCTGTTGATGGCACAGCGGGGTCAGCTATGGGCAGGAGGCATTGTTTTCTCGTGGGCCTTCTGGAGTAATCGTGGCCTTAAGATAACGACCGTAACTCTCTGAGCAGCAAATACACACTACATCTTACGTGTAGCCTTCAATTCTGACTTGGTTGATTCTATTCTCCCTCCGTAAGGAGGAATGAAACACGACCGAATTTCACCACCGGAGTCTGCAGCCACCATACGTCAGTGGTTCTCCAAGTAAGGTCCCAGACCAGCACATCAGCATCACCTGGGAACCTGCTAGAAATGCAGGCCTCCATCCCTGTCCAGACCCACTGAAACAAAATCCCTAGGGTGGGCTCCTCAGGGACATTCTGACCATGACAAGGATGGTGAAGCGGGTCTAAGATTTGGACTCAGAAACAGTAACAGATGTATGCCAGGTTCATTTGTCTTACTTTATAGAAAATTGATAGAGAAATACTACAGAGAAGTTTTAACTCCTCCAGTGAAAGCCCAGTTAGCACAGCTCCCGGTGACACTCTCACTTCTGTGGGCTGTGGGCGTGTGAAGCCAGCCTTGGCACTTGTCCTTCTTAGTAGGTAAAACATTCAGCTGCAAAACAAGCATGCTAGTTCCCTGCACTTTAGCCTCACCCAGTACGCCTTTGTTCTTTATTTCAGTCCATGTCTTTTGAAGCACATAATCTCACAGTTCCTGCTATCAGATGGCTTGGTCTCCTCCCTTCTGATATTAAAAGGTTAGATGGCTTAGCAGAGGTAGGGTATTTAGATGGTGATTCATTGTGATATGTAATGACAAGCTAAAAAGTCACTATAGGAGAAAGCTCTTAGTGCTTTTTATTTATATTGTTCACTGTGATTTAGAATCATATACTTACAAATTAAATGCATTAATGTGTCTGTTTCAACTGCCACAAAACATAATGAATGAGTTTGGTTCACTGTACTTTCAGCTAGCTAGGAAGTTATTTTATTTTACTCTTATGGCCAAAATACTTTGTAGTTTTTTATACTTAAAAGTATAATACATTGGGACCAGCGGGTGGCATGGTGGTTAAGGTGCTGGACACTCCCACATAGCCGACCATGGTTCGAGTCCTGGACCTGGTGGCTTGCGATCTCTCTCTCTCTCTCTCTCTCTCTCTCTCTCTGGTCAAAATAAATAAATAAATAAAGTTTTAAAAAAGTATAATACATTAAATCTAAATGCTAGTCATTGACAACATCATTTGCCATATGAATCAATTTTATCATAAAAATTTTAACTTGGGACCAGCAGATGGCGTCATGGTTATGTCACTGGACTCTCATATGGCCCACTACTGTTTGGGTCCCGGACCCAAAATTTGAAACTCACACTGGGCATGTATGCATGTGTGCCCAGGACCCAGAGATAAGAATGGAGGAGAATGGATTGTGGTGTGGCCATCCCTCCTGGGGGGTAATTTCTTACTTTTCCTTTCTCTATCTCTCTTTGTATCTCCAATAAGTGCACACACCCTATAGGAAAAATCTCTCTAGAAAAAAAAGAAATGTTAACTTTACAAAAAAAAAAAAAGTCCCGGGAACCACCAGTTAACGTAATGGTTATGTCTCTGGACTCCCACGTAGTCGACCGCGGTTCACATCCCGGACTCGGTGGCTTAAAACTCACGCCAGGCGCATGTGCGTGCGTGCCCAAGATCCTGAGAGGAGAATGGAGGAGAAGGGATTGCGGCGTGACCATCCCCTCTGGGGGGTAATTTCTTGCTTTCTGTCTCTGTGTCTCTCTCTGTCTGTTTGGCGAGCGCACGCGCCCTATAGCAAAAACCTCTCAAAAAACAAAAATCCCATTTTAAGATAGTTTAACGTTTGAGAACCTCAATTTTGGCAAGTTCAATATCTATATATCTGTATCATTCTATATCATTGAGTAACAGGGTAAAAATAGTTTACATCTGGGCAGCTTTTCCTTTGTAGATTATTTTCTGTTCATAGCAGTCACTTTTTCACAAAAATAAGATCATATTCTACTGTTAGTTTGGAATCTGCTTTTTTTTTTCACACAACACAATGTGATTGCTTGATTAATTTATCCCAAAACATAAATTTCCCTTGTACAACCTCACTTCATGTCTCCCGTTATGGAGTTCAGAGTCTGGGCTTGCCAGTGTTTACCCAGCCAGTCCCTCCCAGCTGGACATCTGCACGGTTCCCAGTCTCTGCCCTGATAGATCAGTGTTTTGACGGACACTCCTGTAACTAAATCTTTACCCACATCTCTAATTAGTCCCTTCAGCTGAATTCCCAGAAGAACTGGCGGGTCAAAGAGTATACACATTTTCAAGGCTTTGACTGCCCTCTGAATAACTTAATTATTTTGCTTCCCTAGAGAGTAAGAGCCCACCTGCCCCTTCACATAGGGCATTAGCACTTTCTTCCATCTCTCCTAATGTGCTATTTTGGAATGTTTTTTTGTTTTAACTGGCCGGTGAGAATGAACTTAAACATGTTTATTGGATTCCTTTAACCAGCAATCCTGGGTAACAAGTGCTTGTTCCCTAAAGACAGAAGGTCAGGGGCGATTGGCCACTTCTTACAAAATGAGGACACAAGAGGAAACATTTCATTTTTGACTTACGAATATTTATGCACCAGTGAATTGATAAATTTCTACTGCAATGAATTAAAGTTTTCTTCAATTTAGTGTATGTGTCATGGTAAAAATCTCTTGGGGATGATCTACTTGTATGAAGACTAGTTCTAACAAATTCAGAACAAATGATCTGATAATTATTAAGAAGAAACTCTAGCTGCATCTCACAAATTCCATCAGTGTCCTCAAAAGCCGCTCGGCATAAATACACAAAGAAAGGAAAATGTGTGGTAGCTATGCACACATGGCTTCAAGGAAAATCCTCTAGACTTGCCTTTCATTCAGATTGTCACCCCATCCAGGAGCTGCCACTGGCAAATGGTCATAATTACGGGGACACCAAAAGACTATTTGAAATTGGAGCTCTCCTGGGACATCTAGGATTTGTGACTTCAAAAAGTAGACCACACTATAAATCCCAGACCTCTCATGTTCTATTTTTAAACACATGCCAAGATAAAATGACATTCTCCTTTTTTAAAATTTAAAGCTGTGGAGACAAGCAGTTGGCGTAATGGCTATGTTGCTGAACGCCCATGTAGTCGACCACGGTTCGAGTCCCAGACCCGGTGGCTTAAACTCATGTGGGGCATGTGTGCGTGCGTGCCCAAGATCCCGAGAGGAGAAAGGAGGAGAAGGGATTGTGTTGTGGCCATCTCTCCCGGGGGGGGAGGGGGGTGATTTCTCACTTTCTGGCGAGTGCATGCACCCTATAGCAAAAACCTCTCCAAAAACAAAAATTTAAGCTACATTGGTGAGTATGTGTGTGTGTGTGCACATGCATGCACACAAAATGAAAAGTGATAGGTTAATTTCCATGGCCCAGAAGCCCTCTCCATGCATCTTGGTTGTTGGCCGTGTGTATCAGAGCTCAGCAGTTCAGTAGGGGGAAGCTGTGGGAGGGTTAACTGCACCCATCACCAAGTCACCTTGTTGACCATGCGTGATGTTTGTGCTATTGGCATTTGTTTAATAACCAGTGTTGGGGCCAGCCACGTGGCATGGTGGTTAAGATGACTGGTTTCCACGTAGCTGACTGCATGGTTTGAATCCTGGCCCAGTGACTTGAAAAACATGCAGGGAAGGATTGCAATGTGGTCAGACCCCTGGGCGGCACTCTCACCCTCTCTCCCTCCCTCTACATCTGTGCTGCTCTCTGGCAAGTGCACATGGCCTATAGCAAAATTTAAAAAACAAACAAGTCTTCTAGCCTTCATCCTGTGACTAGGACATGAAAGAAAACAAATACTTAGAATTTTATTTACTATGGAAACATAAACTTCCACTATGAACTTGAAAACTTGCTGGTCTAGGACATTACAGACCCCTCTAATCCTGCCCTAGGTGTAAGACTTCTGTTATTTCAGGGTTTTGCTCTAGGGCTTATGCTCACTGGGGAGGGAGGGGAGAGAGAGAGAGAAGAAAAGAGAAAGCGTGTGTGTGTGTGTGTGTGTGTGTGTGTGTGTGTGTATGTGAGGGGTTGGTCACTCTACAGTCCCTTCTCTATCTTCTCAGGATTCTGTGCATGCTCACATATGTGCCCTGTGTGTGTTTCAAGGCACCAGGTCTGGGACTAGGACCATGCAGTAGCCTATGTGGGATCCAGCTGCCTTAACCACCATACCACTGGCTGGCCCCTGAGTTTCTTGAAATAGCACAGTAAATAAAGATGAAATACATGATGTTCAAGTTACAGGAACAATGTTTTTACTGATTTTTTTCTATCTTTTTTTCTAGGTTAAATATACCTAAAAGTAGTTTAATTCCACTGACAAAACGGGACCAAATGAAACTTGACAGTATCCTGAAGAGACCTTATGTTAGCTGTCAACCTTTTTGGAGAAAAGAAGTATAAGATGTTCCTTTTTAACATTTCAATGTCGAAGGTGTAATTGTTTTTAATTTACCATTGGCGGGCCAGGAGGTGATGTGGTAGTTAAGGTGCTGGATTCCCACAAGGCCAACCATGGTTCAAGTCTCAAACTTGGTGGTTTGAAAATCACTCCAGGCACATGTGCGTGTGCCCCAAATCCCAAGAGGAGAATGGAGAGGAAGGGATTTCAGTGTGGCCATCCCCACAGGGGGTGATTTCTCTCTCTTTCGCGAGCACGTGCACTCTATGCCAAAAACAGTGGCTATTCACATGGTATTTTGAAAGCATCTTTCTTAAAACTTTATATAGCCAGCAACTAGCATTGGTGTTGTTCAGCAGTAAGTAGTTAAAATAGAACCACACGAATGCTAATAGAAGAGGTCAGCCAGATGGAGTGCATGCTTTCATCCTTATCATTTACCCAGTTACATTCCCATTGTCAACAGCTCTGTCATGTTAGGTCATCGGAAAAGTCATGACACACTTTTGCATTGAAAAATCCGTGCTGACTTATTCAATGACCCAATAGTTTGTGGAATAAAAGAAGAAACTAAAAAGAATCATTAAAATGGTCCCAGATCATTCCCATGCTGGGCATTCTCACTCCAGATATTTTGTGGCTGTAGCTGCTCTGGAATACTCTGGCTGAGCACAGGGCTATTATTGCCTGTAGTTTTAGAGAACGCAACACGCCTGGACTTACTAGTTTGCTGAACTGACAGAACTGTCACAGAGAACTCTGGTATGACAATATTTTACGTTTATTGACAGATGGAAATGATGGCAGATTCTAAAATGAAGGCGGAAATTCAAGCTCTGACATTCCTGTCATCAGATTATCTTTCCAGAGTGTACTTACCCAACAAATTAAAATTTGGAGGATGGATATAAATACACATCAGAAGAACTTGTGATTGCCACAGGATTTTCATTCGTTTTGTTCTAATTAGTAAATAGTGCTGTGGGGAAAACCAGTAGTCTTAATTCTATAAAGGTAAAATAATTCTCTATTAATTACACTGTTTTTGTCAAAACAAATGCCATGTTCTAATTTTTAGAAGGCGTTATTTCTGATTTCTATATTCTGAGTAAATTATAAACAGATGTATGTTATTGTGACTTTCGTATTTTATTTTAAAAGTAATATTTTGGGAGACCAGCAGTCGGTGTAATGGCTATGTCACTGGATTCCCATGTAGTTGACCCCGGTTCGAGTCCTGGACCCAGTGGCTTAAACTCACAGTGGAGGTGTGTGTGCCTATGTGCCCAAGATCCCGAGAGGAGAATGGAGGAGAAGGAATTGCGGTGTGGCCTTCCCCCCCCGGGGGGGGTGATTTCTTGCTTTCTGTCTCTCTCTTTCTGGCAAGTATACAGCAAAAACCTCTCCAGAAAAAAAAATGTAATATTTTGGGGGCCGGCAGGTGGCGTGTTGGTTAAGGGTGCTGGACTCCCACATGGCCCACCGTGGTTTGAGTCCTGGACCTGGCAGCTTGTTTTCTCACTTTCTCTCTCTCTCTCTCTCTCTCTCTCTCTCACTCTGTCCCTCTCTGGTCTAATAAGTAAATAAATAAATAAACAAATAAATAAATAAAGTTAAATAATTCTTTTAAAAAACGGTATTTTATATATGTCATCCAAGTCTACAAACACATCTTATTTACTTTTTTTAAAGAATTAATTAAAATTTCCCAAATTTTATTTGAATACAGTATCCATTTTGAGCAAAGTGATGTAGCAGACCTAATTTTCACAGAATACAAATTTTAAAATATTAATCTGTACCGTTTCCAGAATTGTTTTCTGCTTTGCTGTTTATTTCTCCACATGACATTTATGGGGGTCAGACAATGGCGCCACAGTAAAACACGATGCTGTGTGAGGAGAACCATATGAGAAGGTTGTCAGTTCGCATCCAGAGACTTCCCAGAGTGTGCTCACGATATAAGCTGGGGGAGCCATCCATGACATTCATATTTCATGATACTCAAATCGGAGCTCCAGGGCTTCTGCCACATCCACCTTCCCTGCCTGTTCCAGCAACAGGCCACCTGCGTCCCTCAGCTTCTGGTCCCCTCTCCCTTCTAAGCCAGCAGTGTAGCATCTTCGAACCTCTCTCTCACATCTTATTTACTTTCTACAATATACTAATGTTGAGGTGTGAAATGTCTTATCAGTAATAAAAATAATAACCTAAGCCTGAGATGCTACAAATGAATTTATAATGTCCAGTAGTTTCTTCCTACGTTTTCCTTCCACAAACCACAGGGGGTTGTGGTTTAGGGATCTTGGTCCATTAATTTACTTGTGCAGTTAATCAAATGTGTTGTATTATGAATAAATATTTAAATTTATATCATCTTCAGTGTTCTGCTATATTTTGCTTTGAACATACATTTTACTGTGATTATTATTTACTTATTTGAACTTCCTTAGGGTTTTAGGGACTATTGCCCAAGTTCCTGCACTTGAATTATTCTCTCTTTTAGGTCCATAGAACAAAGAACTTTAGTTTTAATATGTATGGAAACCAGGACCAGCAGTTGGTGTAATGGCTGTGTCACTAGACTCCCATGTAGTCAACCACGATTCAAATCCCAGACCTGGTGGCTTAAACTCACACCAGGCGCATGTGCGTGCATGCCCAAGATCTGGAGAGGAGAATGGAGAAGGGATTGCCGCGTGGCCATTCCCCCGGGGGAGTGATTTCTCACTTTCTGACTCTCCGTCTCTGTCTGGCGAACGCATGTGCCCGGGAACGGCGGTTCCCTATCAAAAAAACATTCCAAAAAAAAAAAAAAAAAAAAAAGTGCAACTGGCAGAAACATTCCTTCTACCATCATCTACTGTATCAAGTTTGAATATTCCCATACTTTTAATTAAGAAAGAATATTAGTTCGGAATCTGTTTAAAATTAAATAAGAGCTAGTGCCTCAAGATGTTCAGACTCGGGTTTTCCTTAAGGGCTTACAATGGCACTCATAAAAGCTGCTTACACTCGCCCCACTTTTCTGGAAATTTGACTGTCCTCATTGATGAGTCTAGTGATTTCCAAAGTCATGATTTCATGGGAGACAACAAAACTGCACTGTCCACAAAATAGGCCAAACGCTCCGGGAGGTCCCTCCACCACTTCCTTGGTAGAGTCTCAGGTGGACTGTTAGCTTAGGGTAGGTGTCTATTCAGTGCCCTTGAAGAGAACAGAAGCCTTCAAAACTGGCTTGCATGTGGACATGCATTAGAAAGAGTCCCAGGGGAGTACTTTTCCAGTAAAATGTTGAGAAACTTCTTGCTAAACGGATTCCTGGTCACCCCTCAAGGTCTGGACGCCAAGGAATCAATCTTGTAAGAATAAGTCAAGGTTGCCCTCTGCTGGCAGAGGCTAGTTATTGTCTCCAATGCTTCCACTGCTTTGGGTGGACATTTCTTTAAAATATTTTTAAGGCATTTCCTAAAGAAATGGGGACAGGGGAGAGTCAGACAAGACAGAGCAGGTTGGGGAACCATGAGGGTTTGTGTAGACTTGAGTTCTTGGCAGGCAGCAGCTGTGACTACACTTCATGTGTGGTCTGCAACTGAACTATTTATAAAACCCTAAACCAATGTATCAGAACTTCCTAGTTAAGTTTAAAAATTAAACATCATTTCAAATGAAAAGTAATTGATAGCAAAAGTATAAACAAGTTACGTTTCTATCCACCAAGAAATTGAATGTGAGACATAATCATTCCTAGATATTCTCTGTATAAAAGTGGTAGAAAGGTTTTCCACTGTGAACGATTGCCATGACCTGAGCTTCATTTATTTTCTACATTAAAATTCTTTTTCATCTGGGACCAGCAGTTGGCATAATGGCTATGTCACTGGACTCCCATGGAGTTGACTGCGGTTCTAGCCCCGGACCCTGTGACTTAAACTCGTGCCGGGCACGTGTGCATGTGTGTCCAAGATACCAAGAGGAGAGTGGAGAAGAGATTGCGGCGTGGCCATCCCCCCTGGGGGCTGATTTCTCACTTTCTGTCTCTCTGTCTCTCTCTTTCTGGCGAGCGCATGCGCCCTATAGCAAAAAAAAAACTCTAAAAAAAAAATTCTTTTCACCTATATCATGTGGCCCAATAATCATGCCCACAGATACAGATTTACCGCTTTTGCTTCCTACTTCAGGGTGGGAGCATTGAATTGCCCCGACATTGTTCTGTGGGAGTGTAGGGCAGGCTGCTTGCTCCCCCAACCCCTACCCACTGTCTCCACTCTTTTTTTTTTGGAGAGGTTTTTGCTATAGGGCACATACACTCTCCAGAAATACAGACAGAGAGACAGAGAGACAGCGAGAAATCACCCTCCAGGGGGGATGGCCACGCCACAATCCCTTCTCCTCCATTCTCCTCTTGGGATCATGGGCACGCACGCACACGCGCCCAGCGTGAGTTTAAGCCACCGGATCTGGGACTCAAACTGCGGTCGACTACATGGGAGTCCAGCGACATAGCCATTACGCTAACTGCTGGTCCCCCTACCATCTCCATTCTGAGACAGGAGCTCCTTTGCCAGCTGAGAAATGGAAATAGCAGTAAGGACAGCGCTGCAGGGTCATTGTGAGGGTGAGAACTCACATACAGTGTGTTTGCATGCCACAGTTTCGAAAGCATCAACGAACACTAGTTACACATCAAGCAGGCACCCAGCGACGTGGTCCCACGGCTGACGTGTTCCCATGGATGACGTGGTCCCACTGGTGGTACTGAGACAGATGCCAGAACGCGCACCGCTCAGGCTGCCTCAACAGCAGGGAGATTTCTTAAGCATACTCTACTGAATAACTAGTGTTACAACAGAATCTGTATCAGAATAGTGGCTTTTGGAAGGCTCGAGATGAACCAACAAGTATTAATATCAAATATACAAATTTAGTATTTAAAAGCTTGTAGAAATTAAGGTACATGTTTATTGCAGTGCAGAACAGTTTGAAATCCATGTGTAGTTTCTTCGTCACAGTTTCCATGAACGTTTGGAAGACCTTCCTCATCTAAAAACCTGCCTGATTGCTGCAAGGTCCGTGTAGACGGGCCTGAGGTCTAGGAAGCTAGGCAAGACAAATACACGCTATTTAACGAGGCGGAATTTGCCTTGTAAGCCCTTAAAGAACTTTGAGAGGGCTTTTGAGAGTTCCAAGGGGAGACACAGTGTGAGAGGGGCCCTTGGGAAAGAAAGAGAAAAGGCCATCGAGGAGAAAGCCCTTGTTGGAGAGGATTCCAAAGCTTTGCTGGTTACACAGGCATCGGACAGAATGCACGGGCTCTACCGCCTAACAGCAGTGCATCCCTGGTCCATTACGCCATCTCGCTCCCCTCCACGCTCCTACCTGTAAAACGGAAATGATTACAGCAGCAGCCTCACAGGCCGCTCTGAAGATGACAGAAGACCGCGTCTGAGTGCTCGGCCGGCGCGGGGTGGGGCACACGGCTAGTGCTCAGAAACTCTTATTTCTGTCAACCACTCCCAAACTATGAAGACCTTAACTGGCTTAATGCGTGAGTCTAGAACTGGGCAGCACTTCATTCCTTGGAGGACGGAGTGTTTCAATGAGCTGAGCAGAGGAGGCGGGTTCTCCCGAAGGAGAAAAGCCAAAGAAACCAGGAAGCAGAAACAAAAAGCAGACTGCGCATCTCAAAGCTACTTTCCTTGAAAGGTGGGGACAGGGAGACAAGGTAATGAAACAACAGTTGGCAACATCACCTGACTCCCTTTGTGGACGGGTTAAAACAGGAAACGCCCTGCCCTTATCGCACCCACTGGAACTGCCTGTTTGGGGAAGTAGGCTGTTCTCGTTCCCGAGTTCTTGTGAGGTCAGTTAACAATTTAGCTTTGGCTTGGTGACATGAGGACATGAATGGCCCCATTTTGTTCAGTCTGGTCTGTCTGGGTCTGTGCAGGAGCTTAACCGTTTATAATTTTGTTTAATATTATCATCCTCTATGCTAGAGGCCCACAGTCTCGGCTGCCATCTTAGAATCACCTGGGGAGTTTCTAAAATACATCAGTATCTTCTGTTCCACCTCAATTGGCTGAATCAGAATCTCTTGGGTGGGGCTCTGGCATTACAGTTTTTTTTTTTTTTGAGAGATTTTTTCGCTATAGGGCGCGTGTGCTCACCAGACAGACAGAGAGAGACAGAGACAGAAAGTGAGAAATCACCCCCTAGGGGGGATGGCCACGCCGCAATCCCTTCTCCTCCATTCTCCTCTCAGGATCTTGGGCACGCACGCACACGTGCCCGGCGTGAGTTTTAAGCCACCGAGTTCAGGACGCGAACCGCGGTCGACTACATGGGAGTCCAGCGACATAGCCATTATGCTAACTGCTGGTTCCCTGGCATTACAGTTTTTAAAGGCTCCCAGTGATTCTGAAAACCTTGTTTTGGATCAGTGTGTGGCCCAAAGGCCCAGCTGGGATCTTGGGGGAGGAGTAGGTTCTCAGCTCTCCACAGACCTACTGAATCTGCATTTCCTCAGGAGACCTTGCAGGTCCTAAAGCTCCTTTAGGAGATCCAGGCATTGCCAGGGAGACAACCCCTGGGGGAGGTCTCTACCCCCACCAGGGCAGGATATGAGGGTCCTTGACTTCAAGCAAGAAATAATTCACAGCACCCCACTGAGGATGGTGAAAACAAGTTGAGTAAAGTGAGTCTGCAGGGTGGACTACTCAGAAAGCCGAGCAACAATGCGTAGAGCGATGGGTGAACAGTTTTGCTCCTTTCCAGAGGAGAGGGGGAACTCTACAGCCGGGAACTTTGGTGGTGTCTGGCTTATATAGCTTTGCTTAATGCCAAGCCAATCTCAGAAAAGGACGGTGGGTTTTCCTGGAACCGCTGTCCCTCCCATTTTCAGGTCTTCTTAGGGCTTGTCTAGTCGTTGCCATGGTTACTCTGAACCGTCCTGGAGCAGATGAATGTGGCAGCTAGCATGCCAATACCATAGAGTGAGGGGATACCGAGTCTGAAGTTTAGGTGTCAGCGTTCCCGTCCCCATTTTAGTTACAACCAGCTCTGACCCAGCCTCCCAGACATTGCTTGTCCGTCAGAGTTTAGGTGTTTAGAACCTCCCCTGCCTCACTTTGGGCCATCTCTCCTGTCTCAAAGGCACGATCCCGTGTGTAGCAAACCTCAGAGATCTCTTCCTTGTGATCTCTCGCTTCAGAGTCTCCTAAAACGGGGGGTGGGGGGGAACAGTCTAAAAGTTTGGAGCAGGCGGCACGTGCGTGATTCATAACAGCCTCAACGTTTCTCCGGAATGTTACAGTTAGCGTGTTTCGCGTGCCATTTCACATGACTCTAATTAAGAACAGCCCCGAAAATTCTGGAAACTAAGGACCAAAGAGCCTGGGGGGCGCAGGATACCCCAGTCTGCAGAGAGGTCGGCGCAGGAATCCAGACTCCGGGCCCCGCAGGAAGCACGCCCGGGCAGCCTTACAGCGGCTTCTCGGGCGCTGAGCGTGGACTCGAACTGGCAGATATCAATACATGGTTTAATACACGATAAATACAACTAATTAAATGCCCGGAATGCCGCCGCTTTTCCGGTTGTGCGTCTGTAGGAGCGGTTGCTTGGCAACTGGCGTCGACACCAACTTTCGGCCAATCCGCAAACTGCTGGCGGAAGAACGTCTTCTGGACGTCAGCGGCGCTCTTGCGCATGTGCCAGCGCCTCGCGGAAGAAGCAGCTTCCTTCCGGTCGACACAGCGAGTGGCTCCGGGCCCCATGCGCGGTGTTTCCGCGGTAATTGGGCCAGGTGTCCCCGCGG